TTTCAGGGATTTTTTATGATTTTTAATGTTAAAGTGGTTACACCTCAGTGTAGATGGAACTTATTTTAAAATCTAAACATAATGGTTTAAATATGTAGAAGGAGAAGACTAAAAGCAAAATTACAATATACATTTATTAACAGATAACTGATACCATTGGATAGAGGACCCCTTGTAGTAAATAAACAGTGATTGAGTTTTTAAACTATAAACAGTCCTCTGCTAATTAAGAATGTGGTTAAAAAGGGCTTTCAGGTATGCCTCTCATACTCTGCTACTTTAAATTAAATTAGAAAAGTATTCAAAAGCAATGCTTTACGTGAACAACCTTCAAAATACCATATGTTTATCTCTGTTTATACTTATAGATTAGAGTAAAAGCTGTATTGTGTTATCACTCTAAAATATAGTATTATAGTATTCTAGCTCTTAGAATTTTCCATAGTATTTCAGATGGGAACCGAGGGTCTGTGTGTAACATCAGTTGTGTTCCAAATATTTGAATGGCATTGGCTGCTTTGGTTAATTGGTTTCCTTGTGGGGCAACATGTCTGATCACAAACATTAGAGAAGTAGTCTCGCTAAATCATGTCTCTCTGGCTTGCAATCCACTAACAGTTTGGGGGCAGCTTGCAGTATTTCCTCTCAAGGACCTGACACCAACCGCCTGGAAAGCTTGCAGTTGTATTTGCTGATTCTAATGGCAGAGAACATAATTATACCTCAATGCTTTCTCCTTCAGAATCATCACCTGATCTGTCTGCAACCTTAGTGGCCTCTGAGCCTTCAGTTGCAGAGACTCTATCTAATGGAGAGTTTTAAAAGGAGGAGTCTCAGGCATCCACCATAACTCCCAGGCTTAGAGAGACTATTTTGGCTCTTATTGACAGTGCATACCAACTAAAAGATGGAGGTGCAGCCTGAAGCTTCTACTAGTGCTGCCACTAGTCTAAGGTCCCTGAAAGGGCCTAGGACCACAAAAACCTTTTGCCATCCACGTACTATTTCCATAGTTTAGTACACGAAAACTTTAAAAGTGGTCTGTTCCTGCTGTTGATCCCACAGTGTCCTGTCTTAATAAAGCTCTGACTATCCATGCAGATGATGTGCCAGTATTTAAGGATCCTAGAGCTAAATGTCTGAAGTCGCTCTCCAAAACCTTATTTGTACTTGCAGGCCCTGCATTGCAACCTGCCATGGCTGAAATGTTATCTGCCAACCATTAGGGAAATGGACAAAACTCAGGGCAGGGGATGCAGCTTTACTCCACACTAAGTTTCAGTTTGTCCTTCATGTCTGGATGTAGTTCAAGACATGTCTACCTCACACTATTCAATCTTGCTTGTCGCAGTCTTTACCGAATATCACAGGTAATGCGGGGTGCTCGCAGTGACTGCGGTTGGCGCCCCCAGTATCAGCAAACGTGGTCAAGGCTAAGCCTGATGAATGGACCCTGTATGGCCCTGAAAGCGCTTGTTTTATGACAAGAATCATCAAAATATTATCATTTGTGATCCTGATAGGATTTTTGATGTGCTGGTGACATCTATACATGTTTTATGCCCTGCTCCCATTAGAAAGACTGGCTCCCTCTTTGTCATCCCTGATAGTCCCCATAAATGGGGAACCAGATTCTTGTTCCATCATTTCTCGTTGGTTCAGACAAATCATCATTCAAGTTTATGGTCTTAAGGATTGGGTTTCTTGTCAGATCTATGAGTGCTTCTTGGGCTTTTTGGCATTAAGCAACTGTTTCCCAGATTTGCAATGTTGCCACCTTGTCTTTTGTTCACATGTTCTCCACGTTTTACCAGGTGGATGTTCAGTGCTCTTCTGATTGTGGTTTTGGGCATAAGGACCTTCAGACAGCTCTTTGAGCTGCAGGCAGTCCCTAGTTTGTTCATACTTGGGCATGTTAGTGTTTTATCTACTGTGATCTCTAACCCTCAGTTGGACTGCTTCTGTATTTCCCAAATGTTGCTGAATCCTGTGTCTCTCACCGAAAAAAAAGAAACCAAGATTTTTGCAGTAAAATCTTTTTCTTTTAGTTTATTGAGGGACACAGGTCCCACCCTTTTGTGTTTTATGGTCATGTTCTTGGCCTGTATCGACTAGCACTGCAAATTGTCGCAGATAAAGTTGCTGATGCTGACATTCTGCTTAATGTAAATGTGTGAAAGCTTGATTTCTTTGTGGTTGCCAAATATGTTTGCCCCTTGTAAGGACTTATTTTGAATGTAGCTTGTTTCAGTAGCAGTTCACTTTCATGTGGATCAGTTTAAGATTAGAGATCACTTTTTTCCTGCAGATGACCCCCTTCTGACCTGCAGTTGACCTTATTCTATGCTGCATTAATCTGCTTAAATGTGTTTGTACTGTCTCATTGAGTTGTTTGGGGAGAAAAACAGTTTTGACCCAACCAACAGCCCATGTACACAGGGGGGTTGATTTACTAACCTTATAAACACACCACGAACATGTATACACCTCTGTAGTGTGTTCCCTCCCAGCATGATCCATGGGTGGAATCTAAACACCTTTGTAGAGTGTACACACCCAGCAGGTGTGTTGTGCAAAGCCCTGCCCTGAATTGCAAGGTGATGTTGTGTAAATTAGCTCTACATTGTGTTGCTTGCGTTGATGAATGCAGGAATGTAAATGCATGAGCTAACCATTTTTGTCTAAACTGTGAAGCAGCATTATATATGCATCATGTGCATGATTTTTCCATATATGGCATTAGTGAAAATGCTTATAGAGACTTTTTGGTTGATAAATACGCTTTGCTGTGTAAAAATCACACGCACCTGGTGCGTGCGTGTGTTTAGGTTAGTAAATCACCCCCAGGGTCTCAGTCTTTCAAACTTTGTAAACTGATAAGAAAATGTGTTAATCTCAGTTATGGAGATTAGGAATCCTTGCCTTGCTTAACGCTTCCTGTCTTTGCAGATTTTCTAAACTGTGTTTTGTTTTACCACGACAACATTCTATACAGTAGCAAGTTATCACTACCCTTATCTCATACATTTCTGTTAATAATGATGATAAACATAAGCTAAATACATGAAAAAACATTACACAAGTGAGTAAAACAAGCACAGTGGTAGCTTGTAACTGGCTTCAAAATACACTATGAGAAAAAAAAAAAGTAAGTGAAAAATAAAGTACCAGATCTGAAGTTTTTAACCACAATACCTGAGACATTGAGCTGAGTGAGACTAGAGGTCAGACTCGTACAGATCACAAGCATGACCATCTCTCAACTCTGTTTTTTGTAATCACCTTCTCCTAAAAATTTGAATTGACAACATTTCCAAATACCTTTCAATTTAGCAGACCCCAGTCATGGCCAGCGTGGGTGCAGCATATTACCCTATCACTACTCATGTCAAGACAACAAGAACAATAAAACCCATATCCATATGTGGGGAAATGGCAGAAACAACATTTTGCCATAACATTGGATCAAGATCAGTCACCCTTGTTAGCTAATAAATTCCTTGCTTGAACATTACTACCTTGAGAGGAAAAACCTGAAGAATATTGCTGGTTAATTGAAAGGAAAAAACGAAACGAATCGAAGAGTAATACTGTGTGTTTGACATTCCGTGTCCTGTTTTTCATCAGTTATAGCCAAACAAAGTATGTTCCTCATTCTTGAAGTGCAGTGCAGTCAATGAGCTGATAAGATGGTTTTTGGGTCGTATTGGAGCACTTCTCTGCAAAACATGTGCAGGCCCTCATTTTGTTTGAAAAGAGCAGCTCTGCTTCCCTTCTGTAATGTTTAAAGCATCACTGTGATTATCTTCACAGACACCATTTTGTGTCTTATATTACATCTGTAAAGTGTCTTCAGAAATCGTTGGCCTACTTATTTTTATAGGTTTTCTCTTGTATCTCAATATGACCGTTTCTGGCTTCTGAACAGCCTATTATCTTTTTAACATGTGTTTGTAAGGATAGGAGATTCCTTGTAATAAACCGGATGTATTTCTTAAAGCAGAGGAAATTATATTACCTTTTCAACACTTCGGCTTGCTGTAATGTGATCGCTGTGCGCCATCATTAACGTGTTACTGCTGCACTGCATATTAAAAGTCCATTTTTTTTCTGTTTTAGTTTCCACCGTTTGAGCTAATAACAAGTGTTTTTATAAAGATATCACATCATGTTATAGTCAGCCAATCTGGTTGCGATTAGTATATATGTGTGCTTCTTTATAGAGCCTTTTATGCAGCAATCATCGGTGATTATTGCAAGTCAGCATTAAATATTCTGCAATTTCCGACTACCTCCATAACTACCATCATGTCAAAGTTGTGGCTGCAAAACAATGTACTCACAGTTGGGTTTCTCAGGAAATAGAGCTTGGAACCTATAATCTCAGTGTCTAAGTCATTCCAGTTCACTGGTTTGGATGACAACCTTTGCTTGTCAAATTGAAAAGCATCATGGGAAAAGGCAGCTCAGTACAACAAGAGAGCCAAAGTCTAACTATAACTTATTTAACTAAATGAGGCTAAATGTGGAAAACTGACTTTTCTTTTTTTTTTTTATATATACGTTTTCTGTTTTGGATGAGCTTTTATATTCAGTTAACAGTATTTCTTCCTAATAATAAATGATTTTGATGAAATGCCAGTGAAAGAAGCAATGTTTTCACCACGTGTGCTTTTTTTATCTACTGTGCAGAAAAAGTACCAGTGGAGGCCAAGTTGCCATGGCATAAACAAGCACAGGAATTAGAAGAGACAGCGGCTGTATCTGAAGAGCCTTCGTAAGTATCATATTTGTGTGTTGATGTACTGTTATTATTTCTAAATCCGTTTTAAGTGGGTATTGGCTGTTATTTACCACTTTCCAGGATAGCTTAAGCTTCTTCTACCATAAATTCTTTTTTATACATGTCTCTTTCTAGACAAACTTCCTAGCAAGATAGGCAACTAATGAAAGCAATACGTAAAGTGTAACTCTAGGCAAAACTTTTTAGCAGTGAAAATTGAAGGTTTGGGACTTTTGTCAAGATTGTATTGTTGGCCAAGCCTCTTTGGGGAGATTTCCCCTACCTGCCTGTTTCTGTGACCATTTTATCATGGGGCAATAAATGAGAAGAAATCTCCACAACAGGCACACGGGCAACAATAAAAACCCAACAGAGGTACTAACCTTTCCCCAAACTTCCAACAGAGGCTCTAAACTTTTCCCAAATTCCCAAAAGAGGCTCTAAACTTTCCCCAAACTTCCACCGCCATTTAAAAATACAAAAAAGATTAAGTTTATTGTGTAAAATGCAGTTGTGTTTTGGAAATTCTACCTGGTTCTCATTAACTAGTTTTTACACTTATTCACAATAGAGTCAGTCATTGTGAAATATGGTGATCCACATGAGGAACAGTCTGCAATAGCCAGAACATTGCACCCGTGATCTTCGAATCACGGTTGTAATACTTTACTGGCTTCTATGCAAAAAAATAATAAATGCAAATGTTTTTCTTTTATGAAGAAATGTGTATTTATTTAGCAAAAATTGGGATTTTCCTTCAGATGTAGAGAAGTAGCAAACCCTGAAAATTTCCAGTCAAAGCGGACTTAGTCCCGGTTAAGCTTATTATTGCTACCGTGCAGGAAAAATCAGTTGTAATTAATAGGGCACTTACAGCAGGCATTCTGCAGTTACTGCTTTGCCTAGGCCTGGTTTTTCAACCATTCCAAAGTACTGTGTGAATGTGAGACAGCCATCATATACAAGCTATAATGGGTAGCTCTTTCTGTTCCTAAACCTTGCCTTTTTTATCCAAAAAGATTGTCAATTTGTGGTTTCAAGATTTTAAGCTTCCGTTTTAAAGCTACTTTGGACTTTCCTGACTTCAAATCCACAATTTTCTGGCAACGTAGAACCTGTAATTTAGTAAGCAGGCATATTTCTATCCTTCCTGTTATAAAATAAAAGTATTCTCATCTATGGGATGTATGGGATGTACATGGGAAGCAATGAACCTTGTGGTTTCTTTGTATTTTTGCAGTTTCGTAAAATATTTGTTGCCATTCCCCCGTGTGGTTAAATCACAATGGCTGTATCACACTTTAGGAAGCATACACCTAAGTATAAGATTTTTATGTAGTAGGCCCCTTCATCCTATAATACAGAGATTTTTTTTTTAAAGGCAATGGAAAAGAGAGGCGTGAATTTGATTTGTGAGGAAATATAAAGTGGGTTATTTTGCAGGTAATTATTCAGGTAGAGGTTTTGGAAAGTCACTGAAAGGAAATGATGCTAGGGTAGTCAGCACTGAAACCACAGTGTTCTGGAAGGAAACTAGAAATGCTATTATTAAAATGTAGCTTAAGACTATTTCCCTTTGGAGCGTGATTAATGGGCGCAATTTACAGCTTTGATCTGCACAGTTCCTTGCTCTGTATATGCGGGAGCTTACAGGGTTGAAATTGAAATCTCAATGTAGTCAAATAAATTTTCCTTTCAGTGTAGTAGAATTGCTGTGTGGAGCTATTTAATATACACTGTATTATGTTGCAAACAAAGCACATGTGGGGAGCTACTGCATTGCTCGGATCTGTTTTCCTATATGATGCACGTTAGCAGGTAGGATGGATATGATGCTGGGCTTTACATGCTTGGTTTTATGGCTGCACCAAACAAAGAAACTAGTGTCTTTTGTTATGCTTTAAGTCAAATAACCATGCCTGGCCAGCTTGGAAACAATTTAACGTTAGGTGTATGAATACACATATAAAACCCCATGTGTGTTATATACTGTAATGGAATTAGAGGTAGGTAGTATTGTGTACAGTAGCTGTGATTCACATTTTTTAGAGACAATAATTTTTTTAGGGTTCTAATGGTAATAAATGGTGTTCGATCTATTTTTTTTTAACCTTTACCTTATGTATCTGGAGTCAAAACCTTCTAATTTAGTTTTGGATAGAATAGTGAAGGGTTCGAACTCCTGACAGATTTTTATTGATGTGTGGATCACCACTGGGAGGATTCACCCTTTTGTAGTTGTCCTGGTGACCATCATCTGCAGGACTGAAAATTTGTAGATATCAGCAAAACAGTAATAAAGAGGAAATATTCCAGTGGAAGCAGTTGTTCTAGTAACAACTGTCTAAGAGGGCATTTATATCACTTTCCTCTCACTTCCTGTTGTTTCTACCAGGGACATGCAGTCTGGGAGGCAGGTGAGGTTGCTGTGTGTAACCTAACACAGTGAGGCCGGAACTACAAATAGCCTTTGACTTGGAGTCAGAGGCTTGAGGTCTGTGGATGGTTTGGATCAATAGCAAAGCAATTTTGGTCCAAACCGTCCACTAAAAAAAAAGAAAGAAAACACTGACAGCATCCATATAGATGCCTCATCAGTGAAGAGCAAGTGAGGGACAGGGAGGCTGCTCTCTGTCTCCTCCCTCCCTCTTCCCAAAGCCCGCAGGCTGTGAGTCACAGTGCCAGGGACCGCTCTGCAAGGAGCAACGCATAGCTCGGTGACTGGGCCTGGGGCGGGGTGTGTCTCACGTGCCACTGACTTCACTACACATCCCTGGTTTCTACAGGAGTAAAAGGCAATCTACTCAAAGGGGTACAGATGGCAAAAAAATCTAACAGGTTTTAACCTTTTTCTACTCCATCAAAAAAAATTAAAAAACTTTTTTACTTTAGATACTCAATTTTAATAGAACTAGATGACACATAGCACTGTGGTTCATTTAATGAGTTGATTTTATGGTAGCTGAGTGTAACTTTGTTTTGTGGTTAAAAGGTATATATGATTTATGCCATGTTGTTTCCTGTGCATTAAGTGAAGGTCAACCTAAACAAGCATGTCACTAGTGAAGTCAGGTAAAAGTTTAACAACCAGTAGAGTTCAGCCTACATACATTTCAGTACTTGTTTCCTTTACAAGCCAGGGTCTCATATGTTATTGTTATCTACATGTCTGGCACAGAGCCTGGCCAGTCTGCCTTACCTGACGTCCTCCATCCTGGCAGTATAAAATGTTCTGAAGCTATAACAAGCTTTGACAGTGATTGATAATCATCTTACTAGTAACTAACAGAAACAATTACATTTCTTGTGTTTAAGTGGTTAGAAGCTCTGCACATTCTGGGGAAGAGAAGGCAGTATGTCATAATCAATGAGATGTTCTCCTAAAAGCACCTTCCTATCAATCTTCAAGGATTTATTTCCTATATCCCCACTTTATCCTATCTCAAGCTTAAAGTATATGTAAAGCCAATGCTTTTTTTTGTTTTGGATAATATATGAATCGGTTAGATCTAGAGATGCACCAACATTTTGGACTCCAAAAGATTCTCCCCTGATGGCTATTGTATTCTGATAGCCACCATCTGTCGCTGTGAGAATACACGAACAATTGTTTGGCCAACAATTTTCAGCCTGGTGCCTTTGACAAAATGTCCATTGAAAAATCCTCTTTTGTGGAACAAAGGGGTGGTAGCAGGGCGATATACTGCTCAGATTTCAACCGAGCCAGCAGGATTGAGAACCCAACTCTCTATTCTGCGAAAAACACAAAAAAGTTTTGTCGTGTTCTGCTTTAAGTTTTGATAAATCCCTGATTTAAACAAAAATACCTATAATGAGGACATCTTATGAAAAAGAACACTTTCATCATGTTTACACATTTGTAGAGTAGCAATGAAATACATACAATTACAACCACTTATTTACATAGTAGTATTTACAGACCTTTTTTAGGTATACCGGCAAAATGTAATGAGAGGAAGACTCTACTGCCAGCTATAAAATAGTTCTCTTGTGGTTGTTTTTTTTTTTCAGAAACCAATTTATTAATCAACAGGGTAATCAAAGCATTTAGTTGACAAGCATAGAAATCGATTTATTCTACTTTACTTAAGACAAAATTGTTTGTAATAACTAGAAGGTTTGGAATATCCAGACTAAATCAAAGCAGGTATTTAGTGCCTCGCTAAGCGGGAGCTATTGGGACTAGTAAACTATTCATGGTAAAATAATACACTCCTGAGCTCTGTCTTATTCCAGTCATTTATATACTATTGCACTATATACATAGATCTGTATATTTATTACTAGTCTCAGGTGCAAACACTTCATTAAATGTAAAGTATGTTACACAGTCAGTATTGGATAGTGTTTGGACATAAAGGAGGAACCCCATCTGTAAAAAGAATAATTTGTATTATTTTAGTAAAATGTTAAGTGAATTTCTAATTTTGCTTGTGTGTCAAGAATAACAGTATCAGTCAATCAGTATAGACAATTAACCCCTTAAGGACCAGAAAAGTGTTGCACAGTAAATGCTTTTCTCACATGGACACACTTCCTATTTCAGCCCAGATTCTAGAAATGTCACACAAATCAACTGACCCAGAAAGAAAAGGCTTTATAATCCTTCTGTTCCACTTGCTAGGCTCACATGTGCAGGCACATTATTATTTTTTTAGTATTTTGTGAACAATTGGATCTTAATTGAAAGAATAACAGGACAGTGGATGATGACTTTGATTGGTTGGTATGGCAGCTCCAAACCGATGAAGGGAGAATTTTGATTATTCTAGTTTTCTGCATATGATTGTTGTTTACAATGTTTTTAAATATGTCCCACATTGTTATTATTCTAGTTATAGTTATAGCTCTGTTATTTGTTTAGTCAGCTCTTCAGACGCTTTCAATTTCTGGTTTATATTTTACAGATTTATACCGGAACCCTGGTCCTCATGTAGTGTCACCTGCGGAGCTGGAATTCAGCAACGAACAATAAAGTGCCAGGTGCTTTTGTCATTTGCTCAAACAGTCGCTGATCTTCCGCTTGATGAATGTGAAGGACCAAAGCCTGCCAGTCAGAGAATGTGTTACAATGGACCCTGCAATGGTGATGCTGTAGAGTACAGCCCGGAGGAGGAAGATGTAGAATATGGAGGAATAAAAGATACTGATGAACTCTATGACTGGGAATACGAAGGCTTCTCTGAGTGCTCGGAGTCCTGTGGTGGAGGTAAGTGGCTTACACTGTAAAATTAGCTGACTGAGTGCATGATTTGAAAAATGCCATCTTGAAAGAGGAAAGCAATGCAATATTCCAGTAGTTAATAGATTAAAAGAGTTGTGTCATCTTGCTGTTTATATACAAAATGAAATGATGTCTGCAATAGTTTTCCCAGCTGAAATTAGAGTGACATTGAAGGCTGGTGAGCTGAATCTTTGAACTTGAAACATCAAGGATCCTTTGGAAATACCTTTCTTCAGCAGATACATGGTTTAAAAGGGCCTCTAGATGTGGAGAGAGAACATAGAGATTTTCTGTAATACTGATTCAAGTACGTATACACATACCATCCTTACAAATTGTAGCCTCCACAGTACATGGTTCAGAAAAATACATTTCATTTCTGAAGGCCTGAGCTCAAATACTGCTTTATGAGCCTGAAGATTATCAGGGTTATTCACAAAAGGGTGAAGAGTTTGGAGAAGGCAGGAGAAGTGAACAATCTAGAACAACATAGCTGATTTGAAAAATTCTCCAATTCAGCTCACTTTCCAGGTCAGCTATGTTGTCCTAGATTGTTCACTTCTCCTGCCTTCTCCAAACTATTCACCCTTATGTGAATAACCCTGTATATGTGTTCTTGTGTTTGTATTAAATTCTTGTAAGTATAAAATAGGCAGAGAAGGTAAGGCATAGAGTGATCGTGAATGGTTTTGGATGGGTAGTCAATAATCACCCCATCAATGTTATGGTCAATTATGGGGATGTATTACCGTATATTTCAGTTGTAACAGGAGATGATGAGAGCCACTGGGAGCAACAAGCTAGCATTTTATGCATATTGTTTATGGTGTGTCTTTTATCATATAATGGTCACACTGCTTTCGTCTATTGTCCATACTCTCTCTTCAATGTCTGATTGTACCCAGTCTTTTGTCTTGTATCTGATGCCCCCCACCTGTTTTGGCATACCCTTGCCCCCGCTAACAACAATATTTTTGCCTACAGTTTACCTTGCATATGTCCCAGGAATTTCCAGCTCTATACTGTTTTCTTTACGTTAGACATAAACATACTTGTCTTTGAACTAGGCCATCCTTTCCTGCTCCACAATTATCATAAGTAACTGAATTTTTTATTAGACTAGGACCATCTTCCTATAGTGGTCTTCCATAAGGATTTTCTATAATTTAGCAATTTAGCAGAAAGTTATTTTCCCAGAAGGGACGTCAGTGTCTGTAAAAAGAGCTATTATTGAACTCTCTGAAAAATCCTTTTTTTATGAGATGTCTTTGAAGTCTTGCTCTTGGAAGTGTAATAATTTTTTTTATGTCCTTTTTTGCAAGTAACCTAGAGTCTCACATAGAATGGTATTACCATTCCTGGTTTGTAGACTGTATTTGCATGTGTTTAAGTGTGAATATATTGGCCAAAGTCTTTCACTTCTGTTAACAATTCAGAAAAATTACACCTCTTGCTAGGTTCTGGATGAGTAAGTTTTATATCCCCAAAGGATCTTCCCACTCTGAACAAAGGTTTTGTGTTTTACCCAGCGACAGTAGCTAGCAGCCTCCTGGAGAAAGAAGTCTTCTCATTAGATTGCTCCTGCTCTCATGAAACTGTAAACATTGGTACCTATAAAAGTGTGTTAAATCAGGTGACAGGTGACACTGCACTGAAACATAAAAAAAATAAACTGTAGGACATGGAAAACTCTCATTCCTTATAGACAGCTGTATGCCATATACAGGAGAAGCTGTAATTCCATTTGACATGCTTCACTCAATCTACAGTGCTACTGAACTGGAACAGGTTACTTTAGAGCTGGTGTGGCTGTGGTTATTTTTCAGGCCGAAAGTCCCAAAGGAATTATATGCAAACAGTGTTTTCAAGGGTATGTTTTGCTATGTTAAGGAAACTCCACCCAAATATGTTTTTAAACCTGTAAGCATTTAAGGATCAGTAAACCACAATCACAGGTTACTACATTTATATGCAAAGAAACTGGTTGAGCACACACAGACATATCACTGACAATCAGTGGCGTAACAATCGCCATAGCGATCAAGGCGGCCGCTATGGGCAGGCCCGGCGCTACCGCAAGGCAAGTCAGGCGGCCGCCTTACGGCGCTGCAGGGTGAGGGCGGAAAAAACAGGGCATTTTGACAAGTACTTGTACAATCTAAAAGCAGTTAGGAATCTATCACTCTCCCTGGATGCAATGATTGTGCATCCAGTGAGAGTGTTTTCTAACCGCATGTAATAATATCACATATCATTACATGCAGTGGGCAGGCGTTTACAAGCAACTTCTGTAACCTGATCATTAAAGGAGAACTATGAGGTGAGTGATTTCCACTCATTCTCATCGTTAGAGCCAACCTCTGACAAAGACGCTGTCAGAGGTCGGCTCTATCGATCAGGAAGTGAGCAGAAACATGTAGCCGATCTGCTCACTTCCCAATCGTCTCCCTGCAGTGAGCGGTGACTGGCAGTCACTGCTCCCCACAGGGATTCCCCCCTCCCTTCTCCGATCCTCCAGCACTACGTGGAGGAATGAACGGGGAGGGGGCGGGCACATCTGGCTTTGCCTCTAGATAGGCAGAGCCCGTTGCCTCTCACACAACTGGATGGATCTCGACAGTATTGTTGGGATCTGTCCCGGCTGCTGCGCTCTCGGTATATTGAGGGCAATAGCCCGCGATATACTGAACTTTGGGTCAGGAGGTTAGTATATGTCCTCCCGTGACCATAAGAGAACTATGGGGAAAAACACTACACCCCATAGTTCTCTTTTAACTTGAATGGGTGACATCTGCCGTTTGTAAACACCAGATTAGGGATTCCTGCTGCAGGAAAACGCAAGTTCCTGATGCAGGAATCCCTAATCGCACGCAAACCTATGAATAGGGCATTATTGTGTGTATATTAGTGTCCGTAGTACCACACCCTATATAGTTACATTTTCTTTTAAAGTATGACATTTGGCAAGCGGGACCTAAATGAGAATAAAATGTGTTGAGTGGCCCCCGAGTGAATTGAGTTTGAGACCCATGGCATACTGCATCTATGACAACAGCATGGCTTCATAGTAGAAGAGTCCAGGTGCTTATCTGGCCTGCCTGCAGTCCAGACCATTCACCAATTCATAATATTTGGCACATCTTAAAACATAAAATACGACAAAGAAGAACCCAGAACTGTTGAGCAGTTGGAATCCTATATCACGCAAGAATGGGACAACATTCCTCTCCCAAATGGACTCCTGAGTTCCTACAAATTTACAGAGTGTTATATAAGAAGAGGGGATACTACACCATGTTAAACATGGCCCTGTCCCAACTTTTTTGTGACGTGTTGCTGCCATCAATTTTAAAATGAACTTAATTTTTTTTTCAAATGGTACTTTTTCTCAGTTTAAACATTTGAAATGTTTTCTATTTTCTATTGTGAATAAAATACGCTAGTTTGTGTCCTCCCGTTACCCTAAGGAGAACTATGTGGAAAAGCCTTAACCCCATAGTTCTCCTTTAAATTGTATGTAAAGGCAAAACTTTTTTTTACGTTTGGATAGAATAAGGAAGAGCTGGACCAAGGTTTTATTGAGGTCTGTTTTCCAGCTGGCATTATTCACACCCTTCTTTGTTAAGGTTAAAATTGTCTCGGAGAGAGAAAGGAAGGGAAATCCTAATTGTTAGAACATTTTTTCTTTTCTTTTTCATGAAAATGCTAACAGGGACAGCTGTATAAGATGGGAATTCCTTTAACTTTGCAGAGATATCCTCTCACTCCCAGTTGCATTTCCAAGACAGTGAAGTGAAGGCAAATCTCCCCAGCAGGACACACACACATTTTTGCTCCAACAGCAAAACAATTTTCTACATTTAGGGATTTTAGGCCTTCCCTACTCTTTCATTTTATCTTCCAATTAAAATTATTTCCCTCCTCATAATCCTTTCTCATTCCTAACTTATTATTCTTATGTTTTTTATTTACTTTTGCATAGTAATCAGCTGGGATTCAGTACTTCCTTTTTATCACTGGTTGGATATGAGAGATAGTGTTAACATGTAATTGGATTGGATATTGCTAAGGGTAATGGCAATGTACACCCTTTTTCTCTTTTTACTTTTTTCAGAGAGTTTGACATGCTTAATATAATATTTATTTTCCTACTTATGAAATATATATACACTAAACTATATGTACAGGATGTGAGCTTATCACATGTGAAGCAATATAACAATGTTGTAGAGCAGATTTCATAAATCACTTGTAGGTCCAAAAATTTTTTCTTTGTAGGTGTCGGCTCAGCAAGCATTTTCAAAGCATTTTCTTGAAGCCATTGCAGCACCTATTAGCTCTGGCCCGGCTGTGGAGTACAGATACTACAAATTATATCGATGATAACCTTTTTGGGGAAATAAAGCAAATGTTCCACACCCTAGGTTATCATAGATGGCATGTCAACTTTATTGCAGTAATATTAGAGGAGCTTAGGTTATGCAAGCAATTTATAATTTAATCAATGATAATGATTTCTATGCCAGCATATAAGGCTCCCTCCATACACTTACATGGTACATTATAAGTAATCCATCAATACCCTATGTTCTGACCCTGCTGGCTCCATTTGAGAGAACTTCTCATTATGAATCAGCATTCCTCTGCATGCTGAAAATGGGACCTTTCCTTTTCAGAATGATTTTATGATAATAGGGAAAGACCAGAAGGGCAATAGAGAAGCACAATTATCATACAGTCATGAAGACAAGTGCACCATTTCAATTTCTTAGTGCTGGGTTGTATAATGCATTTCAACAGTGCAAACCTCAAGAAAAAAATGTTTACCAAAGAGAGGCATGGAACATAGTTTATGAATATGTGTCTTCACAGTGTCTTCACAGTGCTACCCATGGAACTGTGCATTATTATTTTTTAAGACTCAATGCTTTCCTCAAGCAGGGCAAAGTAACAGGTTTGCTTATATACAGACCTCCACAAACACA